TTGATTACTTTGTGCCTTGACATAGTAAACTGGATATACCATTTTTTCTTGCTTTTTATATATTTTAGACTTCTTTGTTGAAATGTGGACATCTTATATAGGGCAGTAGATTGGTTTTATGCCTTGGCATGGGCACCTCTTTCTGGTAGGTGTTTAGTGTGGGAATTTGAGTTGATCTGTTCAGGAGCTGGGCTGGGTTTGAGTTTTGTTAAGTTGCTGTGGTGTCCTTAGTGCACACCAGGCTTCCAGCTGCTCTGGTGATCCTTGTGTTTAGAGGAGGGCTGATGTTTGGGAGGAGTTCCCTCAGTGTCTACTCCACATTCTGCTCTCGGCTGCCCTTGCATATTGCGTCTCAGGGAGCGCCGGTCTCACACTCTTGTAACTCTTTCAGCTGAGATTGCTCATTGTTCATTTGTTGAGAACATATATATATATATTTTATAATGTCGAGCTTATCTGTAATAGCTGCTTTAAATTTTGCTAATTCCAACATGGGTTATCTTTGGGTGGGTTTCCATTTCTTTTGCATATGGGTCACTTTTTTCTCTCTCTTTGTATGTCTAGTAATTTTGAATTATATTCTGGCTGGTGTGAATCACACGTTGTAGAGATTGTTTTCTGTTTTGTTCCTCTGCAGAAATTTGTTTTTTTGTTTTTTTTGTTTTTTTTAAAGATTTTATTTATTTATCTGAGACAGAGAGAATGAGAGAGACAGAGAGCACATGAGAGGGGGGAAGGTCAGAGGGAGAAGCAGGCTCCCCGCCGAGCAGGGAGCCCGATGCGGGACTCGATCCAGGGACTCCAGGATCATGACCTGAGCCGAAGGCAGTCGCCCAACCAACTGAGCCACCCAGGCGCCCTGAAATTTGTTTTTTGATAGCATAGCAGTTACCTTGGCTCATCTCAAACTCCATCTAACCTCTTTTCCTTCAATTGAAATCCCTGTTCAGTTATTTTGTCCTTAATTTCAACTCCTTGGAATCTGAGTGCTTGTGGTTTTCAGGGGTCAGTGAGAGAATTGGGCAGAGTCTATATATAGAATTTGTGATTCTTTCTGGTATTTCCCCCTTTTCAGCAGCTTTGGTTGTCCTGAGACCTGTCTTCTGCTTCTTCAGGGCAGTAAAGCTGTGTGTTCTACCAGCTGTCCTGTATGGCCTCACCTGGGGCCCGCACTCATGCCTATAGCCATAAACTGGGAAACTCGCCCCGTGCTCTTTTCATTCTTCCACGCGTTTACTCCTTTCATTTTCTGCCTGCTTTTGGATTCTCTTCAGTGCCTTTAGGTGGTTGATTTTCATTTTTTTTTTTTTTTTCAGATTTTATACTCATTTTTGGCAGGAGCATCAGTCCGTTTGGAACTACTCTCTGAACAGAAGTTGGCTATTTAGGCTCCTATTTTAAAACCCACTATTTTGCCTGTAAATTTGTTTTGGGAAACAATAAAGGGACAACTGCCTGTACCTGTTTATTTCTGTGATTTCTAAAATAAGAGAGAATTAAGTAGCAGACCTAGTATGCTCCTGTTACCGCTTCCTGTCTGTTGGATGTGAACAGAACATCTCTGTGTAGGTTTCTCTCTTCCCCCTGAGCCCTGGATCTCACCCCCTTGGCTGTCACAGATGCTGTTAGCCTCAGATCTTCAGCTTTACCCTGTCTACTGGCTCTCTTCCATTGTCATTTAAAAATGCTCACATCTTGGCTCAGTCGGTTAAGTGCCTTCATTGGCTCCCCATTGCTAACAGCATACAGTCCAAACTTCTTAATTTGGCCTGCATCGCCTGCATGCTTTCCCTTGCCTGTTCTGGCCCTCCCAGCCTGCCTTTGCCCTCTCATCTGCTCTTTTCCCCGTCCTCTGAACGTCGCTGCCCTGGAGTTGTTCTGGTGTGTGCTGAGCACTCAGCTGAGAACACTGTCTCCCCTTCAACCTCTCCTTTGCCTGTGTAAAAGCTATTAATTACCTTTCTCATCTGAACTGAGATGTCATTTCCTGAGGAGGCTTTTCCGGACCTCCCCTCAAGAGCAGGTCACATCCCCTGTTGTGTTTCCAGAGCCCCATGTACTTGTTCTTTCCTAGCATCCCTCACTTGTAATGATTTTTTTTTTTTTTTAAATATCTGGCTTCTGCTCTAGATTCTGAGTTCTGTAAGGGTAAATTTCTTGCCTCCTTTGTTCCTTTCTCTAACCTTCTCACCAAGCCCAGTGCCTAGCAAATAGTGGACACCCAAATGATTTTTGTTTAATGAATGGATTAAAGACAAGAAAAGCTCCAAACGGCAGTAGAATAGACTCTGTTACTATAAAATATAATCTCTCCTGCTTGCCACATATGACTGTAATACACTAATCTTATTTGCTGAAGAGCGATAAACTGACAGTTTAACATGCAGACTGAACCCAGCGGCTGACAGCAGTAGTAAATGGACATGTGCTCACAATGGGACAAGAGCCTCTGAGCAAGTGTGAGTCTCACAATGAAAACACTTCATGGAATGGCAGCAGACTGTGTTGTGCCCGTTGAAGTTGACCACAAAGAATTTTGAAGAGAATAACTTATTGAGGCCTTCAGTACAATTTTGTACATTTTCAAAAAGTAGGTGTTGGTCTGTGGTAGGGGACCACCTGCTGAATGGAGACAGCGCCTTAGACATGCAGTAAGGAAAGCCTTAACCAGGGTTGAGCAAAGGAATCAGCAGTAAATTTCGTGAACTTTGTTTCAGTTGTGCGCCTATAGTGTACAGTGTGAAAGAGAGAGAAAGAAGGTAATTTAGAAACACTTTCCCTGTAGGGAATGACGAGGGCTTATTGCCTTAGCCGACACACTCCTTGTTTGGATTCATTTGTCTCTACAAGCTTTGTTTTCACCTTCTTCATTTGCTATGTTCTTTGGGAGATTAAGATTTTAGGGAAATGACTACTTGCATAATTGTAAAATGGAAATTTTGATTAAATTAAAAATGTTGATTTCTGTTTCCTACTATTTCCGTGTTCTACTAACTTTGTTTTGTCTGTCAGACTTTGTGCATAATATGCTCTTCCTGTGAGGATGAATGCCAACTGCTGACAGGGTTCAGAATTCTGATTGATGCTTGCTTGTGGGCTCTTTGCACAGAGGTGATGTTTGTTCAGGTTTGGAAAGATGTAGTGACTCTAGGCTATATAAGTCCTATCTTCATTAAGAAAGTAAGTACATCCTTCCCAAAGTTGTGTGTAGTTACAACATTTGGTAACAAATGTTCTTCATACACTTAGAAAATAGATTCTGGAACAATAGGTGCACTATCCTTGAAAGATGTCATGCCATACTTTTGACATCATGGTATTCTGAGAGGAACTATTTTTTAAATTGTCAGTTCTTAAAAAGAAGTGGTGAATGATCTGTTAAAATATGTTTGCTGTGGGGCCATTCTTGGATAGTGAGGCTAATGGTGTTCAGTAAGTTTAAGAGGTGGTGTTTTCCCTCATGCTGATCACGCATCTTTAGCATGTGGCAGCCTGGCAGAACACATCTAGTCTGTCCGTCCTGGTGCTTGTCGTCCTGGCCTGATGACAGCCTTGTCAGGCTTGTAGCCTGAGGGTAGAAGTGTGCTGGTCTATTTGGGGCTGCCATCCGGGGGTGGGAGGGGGGCATGGGGAGGTCCTGAGGAAGTGAGGTTGAGGCTAGACCAGAAGGATGATGAAGGTAGCCAGGCTGCAGCGGGAATGGAGGAGGAGAACAGGAGGCGGGGGAGCAGCTTGTGCCAATGTTTGAGGAACTCCAGAAAGTGCCAGGGCAGCTCGAGTCTAGAGAGCAAGGGAGGGGTGGTGTAGGGCACGGCTGCGAGCTGGGCGTAGAGGCGGTACCTGTATGCTTCCTTCCCAAACTCTCAGAAAGGTCTGGGGCTTCCTGGTGGCTCTCAGACTGAAGTCCACATACCAGGTAATGGAGGCTCTTGTCGGTCAGCCTCATCTCCCCTTCAAAGCCCCTTTTCCTGCCGCCCTCTCTGATTTCCATATGCCCTGTGTTGAGGCCACACTGGAATTTTACTGTTTTGTAACTCGAATGTCCTTATACCTTTGTTCTCCTTGTTTCTGGCCAAGATACTGTCCCCACTTCTCTACTGGTAAAGCCCAGCTTAATGTCATTATGTTGTTGAAGACCTCCCTGCTGTCTGAAATCAAAGTGAATGGCTTCTCACTCTGCAATTTGATAATACTTTGTCATTCTTGTTCTAATTGTCCAGTCCTCTTTTTTTTTATTTTATTATGTTATGTTAATCACCATACATTACATCATTAGTTTTTTTTTTTTTTAGGCTTTTTAAGCTGTGAGACTTCTTTTTTTTTTTTTTTTTAAAGATTTTATTTATTTGACAGAGCGAGACACAGCGAGAG